GTGTTCGGGGGGGGGTTGGTGGCTGGCTGAGGGGCGTCTGGCAGTTGTCTCCCTTGTCCCAGTATTCGTCAGGGATGCTGTAAGATGCCCTAGGAGTACTCAATTTATCACCCCTGTCGACTGCCCTCGCATGTGCCTGCATTCCTTCGCTCTGTATGCAAGCCCTAGGAGTACTCAAGTTATCATCCCTGTCCACTGCCCTCACATGTGGCTGTGTTCCTTCACTCTGTGCAAGCCCGAGGCTCAGCACAGTTTTGCCTCCTCACGTTCCTCCCTTTCTCTGCCCAGACTTGGCCATTGATGTCCCTGGCCATGGGAAGGTGGTGGTTGACATCGGCTATGGTGGCACCTTCTACGCCTTCCTCAGCGCCGAGCAGCTGGGCCTTGATGTGCGCTCTTCAAAGACCAGAGACCTTGTCAGTGCAGCGAGTGCAGTGACAGAAGCGGTGAAGAAACAGGTATATGGAGGAGCACTGTGGTATCCCACCATGTTCCCTCTGGGCTGACTGCACCAGACCAGCTCTAGATGGTGGGAGAGTCCCATCCTTCCAGCCCCATTATGAATTTCAGAGTCCTTACAAGGATGGGAGAAGGAGCCTTCCTGCTTCTCTCTGTTACCAGTGAAGCAGAGATGGAAACGCAGCCATGTGGCCTTGTCCCCTTCCTCTGGTCTCTCATAGAAGCTGCACTGCACACATTGCTGCTGTTGTGTGTATTTGTCACCCTCTCTGTGCTGTTCCCAGTTCAAGCTTCATCACCCTGAGAGTGAAGACCTGGCTTTCCTCTACGGCACCATCCTGACAGACGGGAAAGATGCCTTTAGTGAGGAGCCCACCACCAACATCTGTGTGTTTGCAGATGAACAGGTACAGAAACAGGCTCTTCTCAGGCACAAGAGACACCACAATTGTCCCTTTGTCCCTTAGATCCACTGCAAAAAAGAGAGACTGTTCTGCTTCTTAGTTTGGGCAGTGATTGCTTGTGCTGCTGTCATGGTTTTGCTCCTAATAGCAGAAATACTTCTGCACACCTTAGATGGTGGCACTTTAAAAAGCTTCATACCCAAAACCTGTTGATTGGAATTTTCCAGGAGTTCACGAGCAGAGATAGGATCCCAGCATAGTACATGTCCCTAAAGTCCTAATCAGGGAACACCTGCTGGGGATTAACAACAGGATAGAAATGGGGTGTTAAAATTCTGTTCTTGTCTGCAGTGCATAAGGTATCACACAAATGGCAGGGGAAGTTTTGGTTGGACTTTCCAGCTGTGAGAAGTGTGGAGCACTGGGACAGGTCACCTCAGAAGCTGGCCAACACTGTGGTTTTGGAGTTATTAAAAACCAGGCTGGCCAGGAGCCCCCTCAGTGTAAGGAGAGCCAATCTTGCCTTGAGGTGTGAGAATGGAGCAGGTGGCCTCAGCCCCTCTCAGTCCTTTTGAGATGATACTGGGAAGATTTCAACTGCTCCTAAATAGCCTCAGTTTATTAGATCATCCATCCCTAACTGTGCCAAAAAGTACCCCAAACCTGCTTCTCTTTTCCTTCTCGGTTGTGATGTATCTGGATTCTCTACAAAACCCTGGCTTGGGGGGGTTACGTGAGTGCAGTGTAAAGATGGTAGAGAGAACTGAGGGGAGCAATCTCATTTTGTATTAAACCCCAAAATCTAGTGCTGGTTCGTCCCTTCTGCTGTAGGTTGACCGGAGCCCGACGGGTTCGGGGGTGACAGCTCGCATTGCCCTGCAGTACCACAAGGGACTCATCCAGCTGGAGCAGAGCAGAACCTTCCAGAGCAGCACCACGGGCTCCCTGTTCACTGGGAAGGCAGTGAAGGCAAGTGGCTGGTGCTGGACTTTCCCCCATCTCAAGGGCTGCTGAAAATGTGCTCAGTGGGGAAGCAGAAAAGCCTTTCTGTGCCTAGGGAAGGGTGTAGGGAAGGAGGGAGGTGCCTGTTGGTCTTGTCCTCCCACAAACGTGGCACTAAAAGGATTTTAGGGCCTTGTGTTGTGTGGCTGCTTTGGGATGTACCAGGGCATAAATGTCAGGTAGCACTGGAATTCTGTGGGGTTGGGAGAGTGGAGAACCCTCTGTTGCCTCTATCCTCATCCTGATCCCTCTGCAGGAGACCAAGTTTGGGGACTACAAGGCTGTCATTGTGGAGGTCTCAGGAGAAGCCTTTTACACTGGCACAGCCACCTTCACTGTGGAAGAGGAGGACCCACTGAAACATGGCTTCTTCCTCAAGTGACCCGAGCCACAGGTGGTGGCAGAGCCTCACTGATGGTGCCGTGCTTCTCCTGACCACGAATTTCTGTTTTACTTCTCCACACATTGCAACAGAAACATCCCTGGGTGGTGTGACAGCATTTGTCACATTTCAGGGTAACAGGCTTGTTGCCCTGTTATGTTTAGCATATTGGGTGCACTGTGATTAGCACATACAAGCTGCTCTGAGATGCTGTAGTATTTTTCTTCTTCTTTTTCTTACCCATAATTCACAGAAAACTGAGCTGATCTTGGAGAGCTGCCTTCAAATTTATGTGCCTTCTCTATGTCTGCAAATTATGAATTTTAAAATTAAATTTCTATTAAATGCCGGCTGAAAACTTTGCCATTTTCCTTGTTTTCACTCCCAGAGCTCAATTTGGAAGATTCTGCTGAGTATGTCATGACTCTGGGTTTGAATTGCTAGCTGTTGTTGTCTCCTGCTCAGCCAGCTGTGCTGCTCTGTCTCATGCTCCAGCTTCCCTGCTCAGCCTGTCCAGACAGCCCCTTCCTCACTCATTTCACCCCACCAGGGCTCTCCTGCATCCTGGGGCTGGATGCAGGTATTTGATCAGAATTTCCTGTGTTCCTGCTGAGCGTCCATGCTGTGCTGCTTCCCTAAGCCTTCCTCACTTGCTTATCTTGGACCTCTGGCTGCAAATACCCTGTGGTTAACTTTCAACAGGAGCAGCTGTGTTTGAAAGTCTGAGCCATTACGACCTTTGACTGCTAATTATTTACTGATTTTGTCCCAGTCCAGGGGCAGCTTGTGAAGCTGAGTGCAGTCAGTGCTTGCTTTGCCAGAGTCCCTCCAGGGAAAAACCAAGCATTTGCAGTGGCAGGAGCAGTCCTTCAGACCTCTGGTGGCCTGTCACTTCCACTGTGTCTGTGGATGAAATGGTGCTTGTTAAATGAAGACACTCATGGGCGGAACTGGCATTTGTTAAAATGAGACATGAGAATGAGAATGATCATCTCATGCAGCAGAAGGGTGCATACTGTTGAACTTAGATAAGATTGGCACAGAAAAGCCTGGGAGGAATTTCTTCTGTGAGCTTGAAAATAACTTTGTAGCAGGAGGAAACAAAAATTCCGATTTATGCAACTACTGAACTGCCAGTAGACTTGTTTTGGTTTTGTTTTTTTTTTTCCTCGGGCTCCTGCTCCCAGCTTTCCTGTAACAATCTTGTAAGTTCCATACAGCCTCTGATCCAGGAGAACAAGAAGTGACACACACATTGTCTGTGCTTGCTGGAGCACACTCTTCCATGAATGAAAACTCCTGCATGTGTTTTCATCTTCTGGGCGTCTCCTTTATCAGGCCCCCAGCCTGGCTCCTTGGAAGAAGCTGGGACAGCAAGTCACAAAGCCCAGCACAGGATCTTTGGAGGTTCTTCAGGCATTAATTGGGGTGCATCCTTCATTACCTATACTGTACCCCCATCCTCAAGAAAATTTTCAGGTAGGGGCAGGCAGCTATAGCATGGATGAAAGTGGAGGGAAAGGATCCTGCTGCCCATGTGGAGGGGGTTCCTGGCCTGATCCCTCAATCTTACACCTGATGATCCCTCAAACCCCAGCCTGGTGAGCCGGGGTGATGGTCCCGGCCTCCAGCTGAGGGTCTGGGGGTATCTGTTCTCCGTGACGGGCTGGGGGCTGTGCGGGGAGAGGCGCTGACCGGGGCTGCCAGGCGAGCACATCTGAGGGGACCATGGGATGGTGCCGCTGTGGGCCGCAATTCCCCGGCCCCACCGCCCGTCTGTCGGGGCTCCGCTCCGCCGCCGCCGGGTCCGGCTGGGCCGGGCCGGGCCGGTTCCCCGGGTAACGGCGGCCGAGCGACGTCAGCGGCCGGGGGGCCGGGAGCGGCGGGGCCTCCGCAGCCGCGGCGGGGCCGGGCCATGAGGCTGCGCATGGAGCCGGCGGCGGCCGTGCCGGGCAACCTCTCCCGCGGCGGCGGCGGCGGCGGCAACGAGAGCGGCGGGGCGGCGGCGGCGGCAGGAGCGGCGGGCTGGTCGGCGGCGGCGCTGGCCTCGCAAGCGGCCGCGCTGCTGCTCATCTTCGCCCTCTCGGCGCTGGGCAACGGCGCGGTGGTGCTGGTGATCGCCCGGCACCGGCAGCTCCGCACGGTCACCAACGCCTTCGTGCTGTCGCTTTCTCTGTCGGAGCTGCTGGGCGCCCTGCTCTGCCTGCCGCTGGCCTTTCTCAGCCTGCTCAGCCGCCCGCCCGGCGCTTGGCTCTTCGGGCAGCGCCTGTGCCTGGCCAGCGCCGCGCTCCACGCCGGGCTGGGCATCGCCGCCACGCTCACCATGGCCCTGCTCTCCTTCGATCGCTACTGTGCCATCGTCCGCCAGCCGCGGCACAAGATGGGCCGGCGCCGCGCCGCGCAGCTGCTAGCCGCGGTCTGGCTGGCAGCCCTGGCGCTGGCCGGGCCCTGGTACGGGCTGGCGGGCGAGGGGCGTCGCGAAGCCCGGCCCGGCGCCTACCGCTGCGTCTACGTGCTGCCCTGGGGCTCCTCGCGGCTCGGGCCGCCCTACGGCGCCGCCCTCATCGTGCTCTGCTACCTGCTGCCCTTCGCCGTCATGTGCTTCTGCCACTTCAACATCTGCCGGGCGGTGCGGCTGGCCGAGAGCCGGGTGCGGCCGCTCACCACCTACGGGCACCTGCTGCGCGCCTACGGGGAGATGCGCACGGCCACCACCGTGCTCATCATGATCGTCTCCATCATCTGCTGCTGGGGGCCCTACTGCATCCTGGGGCTGGCCGCCGCCGCCGGCCGCCTGCCCTTCTCGCCCACCATGGACGCCGTGGCCAGCGGGATGGCCTGGGCCAACGGCGCCATCAACCCCCTCATCTACGCCGCCCGTAACCCCAACATCTCGGTGCTGCTGCGGCGCAGCCGGGAGGGCGGCTACAGGACTAGGAACAACATGGTCGCCTACCTGTCGGTGCCGGGCCGCCAGCCGGAGCCGCGGAGCCGGGCTGAGCGGGTCCGGGAGCGCTACATCAACCGGCACAGCGGGCCCCCGGGCAGCGCCCTGTCCTCGTCCAGCCCGGCCAGCGGGGCAGAGGTGGCCATGTGGGCCTGCAAGACTCCCGCTGTGCTCTTCTGCCGGGATGGACAGCCGGACACGGTCTCTGAGGGCACCCTGAGGGGCAGAGCGGGCGCCATCGACACCAGCCTGTGAAGGGATGGGGGCCGGCATGGAGGCATCGGGCCCCGGGTGCCTCCTGAACAAAGTCCTGCTGCTTGGAGCCCTTTGCAGCTGGATTACCAAGAAACTGTGATGGGACTGTGTTTCTTCTCCACCGTGTGAACTCTGCTTTGGTCACCCCATCTGTGAGCAGCAAGAGCTCCAAAGGGAAGGGAAATGCCCCTTCCTTTTCAGCAGGCCTGATGGATGCATCGGTACAGCTACTGAGCCCGGCCAAGGCAAGAGCTTCGAGAACAGGACAGTGTTTGCTCCAGACTTGCAGAAAGTGCCACTGTGCAGCTCCGGGGCTGACACACCAAACTGACTGAATGCCTGTGGGAGCTGTTTGCTAAGTGCCAAAAAAGCAACTGAAAGCTGAGCACTGGCAGCAGGATTACCAAGAATCTGTGGTGGGACTGTGTTTCTTCTCCACTGTGTGAGCTCTGCTTTGGTGACACCATTTGCGAGCTGCAAGAACTCCAAAGAGAAGGGGAATCCCCCTTCCTTTTCAGCAGGCCATCAGTGACAGCCACCAAGCCCAGCCAAAACAAGAGCTTCAAGAACAGGACAGATTTTGCTCCAGACCTGCAGAAAGTGCCACTGTGAACTCCGGGGCTGACACACCAAACTCACTGAATGCCTGTGGGAGCTGTTTGTTAAGTGCCAAAAAAGCAACTGAAGGCTGAGCACTGGCAGCTGGAAGCCACTCTGTAAACACCACACTGTGAAAAACAGCATCATGGCAGGAAAATGTTGCTTTTATCTGTTGTATGTGGAAGTGACAACAGTCATAAAGTCACAGACTGTAGGATGGGCTGAAAAAGTGATCTATTTATATGTATTTTTTTTTAATTTAAACTCTGAAGCATAACAAGAAAAGTGAAAGGAAAGATGTATGATACAGGGAGGCAAGGAAAGGAAGGTAAATACCTCAGGTGTCAGAATTTCTCTTTTCTCTTTTTTTTGCAGGTACAGTCAACTTAAAATACTATGAATATGAGAAACATGAGTTCCTCAGACAGACTGAAAAGGGTGTGGGTGTAAACTGTGGTGTGCACAAGATGTATGTTTTCTTTTTGAGCTCATCCAGAGTGTCTCTCATCTCCAAGGGTTTTACCATAATTAGAGGAGCTGTGTGAGAGAAGTGTCTGAAAGGAGAGGCAAAGCAATACCACGTGTCCTCTGTGTGCTCTGCAGCATGTGAAAATGTGTGTATGCACAGAACAGATATTGTTGTATTGATGGCAGCAATCCATTGGAATACAATATTTTAAAAACAGCTGTTTGCTGTTGAAAAAAAAAAGGAAAATAACACCATGGAAATGCAATTGCACAGCATTAATGTGAATAAATTTATCAGTGTCATCTTTTTGTTCAAGGGCCCAAAGCCTTAAATTAGTATTTTGAATCTGAAATTAAGATTTGGCCTTCATTTGTCTTTGTCAGAGTTTAGTTTGAGACAGTATTTTTCCTTGTACAGGCTTTAAAAACACAGTGTTTTGGTTTTAATTTTAAAATACAGTGTTTTGGTTTTACTGGATTTTTCAGCTGTTTGTGACGCAAGTGAACACTCTGTCATTATTTTGTAAGTGAAGAAATAAATTGTCTTTTATGCAGGAAATGAAAGTGTCTCAGCCTGGCATCATTCTCAGGCCAGCCTTGGGACGGGAACTCCTGTAAAGAAATTGCCAGATGAATGATAGCAGAGAGACCTAATTGTTTGTGAAATTAAAATGCAGCTGTAAAAAAATGCCAGATGAATGATAGCAGAGAGACCTAATTGTTTGTGAAATTAAAATGCAGCTGGTTTCCAAGCTTTAAGCATTACTGTAACTTTCTTCTCTGATGCTCCTGAAGCCCATGAGGGAAAATCTGACCCTTGACTACTTAGCACTGCTATTTGCCCTGCAGCTAGTGGATTTTGCAGTGTTTCCTTGCTGTGTTTCAGAAAGAAGCTGTGCAGAAAGCCCACAGGAGCTGTTTGACATGGGTGGCTTGTTGGAAGGGCAGGAGAGGAATTCCTGGCACAGCAATGCCTGGCTCAGTGTAAATGGAAAGGGGTGGTTGTGAATGGTGGGATTGCATTGAACTCTCACCTGGGTAGCTGCAGGTGGTGATCACAAGGAGATTGGTGGGGGATAATTGATCATGC